AAATTATACAGACTAGTGAATGGTTATCGATTCTCAAGGTGTGAAGTGTCGTTTGAAGCTCTTTCGTTTATTACTAGGTATATAAACTCTTAGTTGGTAGTATCGCAGTGTTTGAAATGTATAGAAACGGACAAGTACACAGAGATAGCCAGGATTCTTGGGCTAGCAAATCGCTGTGATTTGAAAGTTGCTGGGAACATGAATTTCCCTGTGGAGGGAGAGGGGATGCGATGAATATTTTTATCTCTATTAGAAAAAAGTCGTCTGATAAGTCAGTTTCGTTGTCATCTGATGGGCGGTAATATAATGACAGTTAAGACCTCTTGCTGTTCTTTCTAAAGTGGCGGCGGGGGGGAGGGGCAGATTCATAGTTATATCTTTGCTCACCTATTAGTTGGATTTTTATAATGCCCGAATTCTATAAATTGGACACATACTCACAATATCGAATTTCCTATCCAAATCCAAGCAGGGTGGAAATCCCATCGGTCAATTTTCATTCATTCTTGAGATATTGTGGAGGAGGAAATTGGGGTTGGGAGGGAATTTATATGCTGCTTTGACTGCAAATTGTTGTGCTAGCCTTAGCACTAACTGGGTGAATAAGTGAATAGCTACTTTGATCTCAGGTCTTGAAGTCCAGCGGTATGAAATGCTGAACATGTTGCTAAAGTGAAAATCTCCACTTTATTCCTCCAAATCTGATGTCTAGAATTTCTAATACCAATTCCAGTAATGTAAAGATCTCCCTCGACTATTCTGTTTCGTGATTGTATATTGAGGAATGAGGGCAGGAAATAGACATTCAACAGGCTAGTAAAGTATATACTTTACATGGTATGAAGTAAAGAATGCTCGCGGTAATTATTACATGCTAGTGTGTGGTTTATTGGGTAATTATTGTATGTTTGTATTTACACTATTACTAGCGTTTGTTGTCACTATTGATGAATAGGAAAGGGAGATCCGCACAATGGCAGCGATTTTGAAGTTTGACCATCTTTCATCCCCATCTTTTTCATCTCACTTTCTTGACTCTCTTCCCCTGTCGCCAAAGGCGCCAGAGAAACCCAAAGATCAAGCGCAAAAGTCCCGGCGTAATTACCGCAGACCTCCCTTGAGACTCCTCGATCCTTTGATTTCTGGCACATTATATGCGTGATCCAGTAACCCTGGGAATGGTCTCCCTTAAATACTCCCAAGTTGAAACCGCGCAATATCATCCACTTCTTGCTTCTCACTTCACAAACCTCAAATCAAATCTCACTCAAATCTCACTCAAATATAAAGAGGTATTTCAAACCTATTCTTCGATTCTTCGAAAAGTCAAGGTATCGAAATGGCATCGACCTTGACAGGTCTTGTTTGCTGAGTTGCAAAATCACTTTGGGCTCTCTTTGTCTGGTTGAATTATGGATGCTGGAAATATTGGATCCAGATACCTGAAGATCTCACCATCTGAAAATTTGATCGTGGATTTATCATCTAATAACTACACGAATCCCGCTGTTGTTTCACTGCTATCATTGTGGATATTCAAGACCCTAGTATTTTTATCTGAACATTTCAGCATATTTCAAGCTACGAGAGTATAGATGCACACTCTGTTTTCTTGTGTCTAACTATATTTCTTCAACCTGTACCAACCTAGCATGATTCTAAGTTCGAGCTCGACTTCTTTAATTTCCGAGTACTCGAGGGGTTTGGAAACTCTGTATTAAGTAATTTAGAAAATAAGTGAATGGGATTCGCTATGGAAGAAGTGATAATAAGCCTAGTGACATCCCTGTGGTAGCAGAATCCGTGGTTAATGAAGTGATCCTTTTGTAATTACTATAAATTCTACAATACCTTTATTATATATTGAATAAATCGTTTTTAAAGTATTAATATAATCAATTTAAGTCTCCATACCTTACAAAGCTTATTCTAATTAATAAGTTCTTAATGAATTTCTTGAATTCTGAAAGATTAATTGAAAGTTTCGATTTAAAGTAATAATTATTTATCAAATAGAAAGCTTCTAGGTTTTACTTGCTTTTTAATCCTTCTCCCTCTTTTTCTTTTTGTTTCCTTCTAAATTAATTTCTTATTAGATTTCAATAAAATAATAAAAAAGTTCTTTTAAGTATTTCAATTAGAATCTATTAAGAATTATTAATTTTTCTATCATATTTTTATTTTGAATCTTTTATTGAATTCGAATTTATTTATATAAAGATTGGAAATAAGTGAAATTCTTGTTTATTTAATGTATTATATATTTATAGTATAATAATAAAGCTTATAATTAAAGAATAAAATAAAAGTAATATATTTTCGAAAAAATCTATTTCCTTTTAAACTTTCAGCTAATGCTTTCTATCCACCCTCTAATTTTTATACTTGCTCCCCTTCTCTTTCTAACTTTTATACTTGCACCTTTTTGTTCACTTTGTTTTCAATTCTAATCTTCAAAAGCAATAAGGTCATATAAAGCCCTTATTTTCTTTTTTCTTATTGAAATTCAATAATAAATAGGTTACAAAAAGAACCGATTTGATTCGTTAGTAATAAAAAGTTTTATTTATTATTAATAAATATATATATTAATATTGTAATATATAAAATAGAAATTTGTGTAGAGGTTTATATTGAATTTCTCTTCGTCCGGAATATTAACTTTGCCACTACAGGGGTGTGTAAGAACTAATTTGAAACATCCTGTGTGTATAAAATACCTTCGACTACTCTGAGTTCAATCTTCCATCAAGAGTGAGCTTTGGCATTAGGACGAACAGCATAGGGAATTTTGCGGCGGGGTTTCAAGACTATGGTGTAGAGCAGATGATATCGTATCTTGTGTACATTCACAGTTACTGATGTTAGATGCTAAAGATTAGTGTTTGACGTTTCGGCGGTGATGACTTGTAGTGATAATGGCATCCCACTTCTCCCCAAATGACAATACGAAGCGAAGAATAACAACACCTCGTGAATTCCTATCATCCCACAACCAAAAATCATAATCCAATCTCTAACTCCGATAAAAATCAAGCACACAAGATAGAATGATTTTCATTCCCTACAAACGAACAACAAAAGTCCCATCTTTTAGTCGTTATGTTTACAGGCGCGTAACAATATCCCATCTCATGAGATCTGTATCAGGAGAAAATATGTATAGATTCTTAACTACTTTCGAATCGCTTACTTGATCTTTATCACATGTTTTCCAGATAGATATGAGAGGTATACTTGTCAAGTGAGCTCTTGGTCATGGATTCACTCACTTATCCTCATATATCCCATCCCATCCCGTGCAAAATCCACTTCGCAAACGACTATATAAACACCTGCCCATCATACTCACCATGCCCCAAATCAGCAACCCAGATTCGAACACCCAGAACTTACTATAGACCCATGATTATCTCCTCAAATTCCTAACACCAATCAATCACACCCCCCTCTTGGCTCTACAGCAGCCATTCCATCTCATTTTCATTCTCACCGTCTAAACTCATCGAGGATCCTCAACTACTCATCTAATCTCTGAACAACAAAAACAACAGCAGCAACAACAAAACAAAACAAAATAAATGTGCGACAACAGTAATCCTAATGATAATATTCATGAAATATAAAACACACAGCATAAAACACAAAACAGAAAACCAAAGAAAACCATGCCAATAACCCCTCACTTCGCAACATCAACTCATACTCAGACTCCGATCTAACTTTCCAATCTTGTAGCGCAGGATGAGTATTTCAAACTACGTATGGGTACCTATTTGTTATTTATCTATCTAACCCTCCATATAAACCGCACATACATCATAGTCCAACTTCTTGTATTAAATTGAGAGAATGGATATTGGTACTGTATTGATCGATCTCTTGCTAAGCGAGTCAATATCTACTCAGCACTACTCAACTCTACAACCCAGACACATCAACTTGATTTCAATGATCAGCTACTCAAACAGAAAGTTTGAAGTGGAGCTAGTTTAGAGAATACAACATCCCACACTATCCAACCGAAGTGAATCGAATCGAAGCTTACTTCCTCTCTATTCTCAACCTGCGGAAGGAAGGTAACTATTCCACAAGGCTTCTGCCTCTATCAGGACTGAGGAGTGAGATGAAATTCCACAATGCATCCATCATTTCATCAGAAACATATTGCTTCCAGCACTCAATCTACTTGCTATAGATGCGTTATCGATGTTTCTTCCTGCGAGACCCTAGCAATAATCAAAGTATCCAAATATGGATTCTCAATTTCAGAGAGAAACACTATTTATACTTGGAGAGCGAGGGTAATTATCACCCATACTGATATTCCACTACAGGATAAAATCATTATCCGCAATCTTAAGATTTCCGTTGTCACTCTGCCACTCCTCTGTAATCTCAAATAGTGTAGGCAATAGTATACTGCAGTAAAACTGTGGCGCATATTAGCATATTTGTGTAGCAGTTAGTACGTTTGGAAAGGGGGTTATATTACTTTGGTATTTATTCCTATATCTAAAAGATACTAGCAATAAATTGAAATACTGGAATTCATTATAAAAGATCCATTCCTATCTATATTAGGCTATGAAATATATATTTAAAGTATATTTTAGTATTTCATTATATTGTTAATAATATCAAATAACAAATAATATTGAATATTTTCAGTGCTATAAGTTTCAATATTATATATGTCAATATTTTAGAAAAATCCAATAATTATTACTATATCGACCTGTATATTGATTACGGGAAATACTATTGCCTACACTGATCTCAAATCATCACGATAGAATACTCCTTCCCCCTTCTTTTCTCTTTCATCTAGCAATCGACTCAAAACCACAGCTCAAACTCCCGCTGCATGAAATGATCCTCCTATAAAATGTACCCGTACCGTGCTGCAAAGTTTCGCATCGCGGCTACATAGATTTATCTCTGTGCATGACAGCTATACCATACCTGTCCGATTCCTCCACTCTTTAATCTCACCCCGCTTAATGAATTGCAATAATCTCATGCTGGAGCGGCTGTATAAATTTCTCCCAATCTTCCATATCATGAACTCTTCTTTGCACTCTTGCTGATTCTTGGAAGTGTTGAGGGTCTTCAAGGTTGTCAGGGGTTTCATAGTCGTCGGAGCCGTTGGAGCGTCTAAGGTATCTAGGGTGTCCAGAGTCTTCAGAGTAATCAGAGTCTTCAGAGTCTTCAGAGTAATCAGAGTCTTCAGAGTCTTCGTATTCTTCAGAGTCTTCAGAGTCGTCGGAGGAAGAGAAAGCTTCACTCCATTCCCTCCATTCCTCCAGCCCCTCTTCGAACCACCACTCATCATACTCTCCCTCATCATCTAAAGTCTCACTCGGAACCCGCAATCCCAATTTCCACCATTCTCTCATCTTCTCAACATTTTTAACGAGTTCTATCTCCCTCTTCCTTTCCCTCTCTCTCTTTCTTTCCCTCAGTTCCTCCTTGAACATCTCTCTCTCCCTCTCCCTCTCTTTCTTTTCTCCCCTCCGTCTCTCCCCTTTCACCTCTTTGTCCTTTTCCTTTCCCTTACTCTTCTTCTCATTATCATATTCATATTCATGTCCATCATCATACCTCAATTCACAACCAACAACGCACTCCCCCACATACCTAACATGATTCACCCCCCTTCCCTTTCCCCACTCCACCCACATCCGTTTTCAGAAGAATCACCTCTGTGTTCTTTATCTCACAAGTCGTAGCCGTACGATTAGCCCTTTTCATCTCGTTCAGCAAATTCCCAACAACCATTTCCATTTTTCTCTTCAAGTTTTCTTCCGATTCCTTCTCCCTCTCTCTCTCCCCTTCTCCATCGCTATTTCCCTCACCCTCAATTTTCGCCAACACTCGTGCTGCTCTGAATAGTGAATTCACCATCCATAAATAAGCTCTCTTGTTCAAAACAAACAAATACCTCTCCGTCTCATAAATCCTTTCGTGCCAAAGAAGTTGTCCATCATCCCTACAATCTACATATTTCTCCATAGCCTCCTTTTTCTTTTGTCCAAAAAAATTCTCAAACCCTCTATCCAAAGCCTCCTTATCCTCTCTCTCCCTTTTCCTTTCCTTCTTCTCAACCCACCCATCGCCCTCGTCACCATCATAGCCCCGCAAGACATAATACGACCCCTTTTCCTCCCCATTGAACGTCCATATTTCATCTCCTACTTCCGTTCGCACACTCACCAGTGCAATTTTCCCATTGCCCAAAACCGCAAGTTTCTTGCTCCTAAGAAAATTTCCACTGATATCCGTCATGGCCATCAATACGTATATCCATAAATCTTCCGAGTAACTTTGATTATACAACACTTTCGTATCGATCTTCAGCAGTTCTAGATCTGCGGGATCTGCGATTTTGGAAATCAGTTCCATTCTGTCGAAGAATATGTCTGTGGCGCTTGGATACTCATGTTGAAAGAAAAACTTTTCCAGATCTTTTGAGATATAGTTATAGGGAGAAGTCTCTGAGGTATTGAACCACGCACAGAAATGTTCACAAACGAGACGAACTTTCATCTTCTTATCAGCAATATAGGCATTCTTTCGATGACTTTCCATGGCACGCAAATTCTTGATTTTATGACACAAAGCAAAAACATCCTCCCTCCTCGGAATCTCATTTTTGACCACTTCCACACAATTGACCCTTGTTCCAATACAACCCAATATAGCCTTTTCCCCCAGAACAACATGTATATCCCTCATATCATGAATACCGTTACCTGTCTTCCCTTTCTGCAAACGCCACTTCGCATCCATAGAAACTTTTTTCGAGGTCCAGTCCGGTACCCAGGTTGGTAGATTCCATTTCCTCTCTTCAAAGTTCACATCTTCCACATGCGACAGGAATCCAAAATTAGATTGTTGATTCAAAAAATACAATGTCAAATCCGTATACACATCTGTTATTGTTTTTCGATAATCGATTTCGATTAATTTTTCGATTTTTGGGTTCTTACTTTTCGTGTGGTTTACAAACATGGCGAGATGTCCATACAACATATCTCTTGGATCGGACACGCCATACCCACGACGCGAGTGAAGAATCTGAAGCAGATAATCGCATGGGTCAGAGCTCTGCGAAGTCCTTGATACAAAGCTTTCGCGCAACTTGCACATCTCGACTAGAACATTGTAATTTGGAGACTTGACCAATGCAGAATCATGCTTGGAATTGAACTCGAAAATGAGGCTTGTAAAGTTTTTCCATCTGAGACGATAATTTCCCACTTGTACCCAGGGATCACCGGAAAGAACCAGTTCTTGGAGAATCCAGATTCTTCTGAACCATGGCATCTCTAATAAGTGAAGAACTAGATCATCAAGTCTTGAGTCCATATGTTCTTTCGATGGTAGATCAAATTTGCCATCGGTATTGTGCGATCTTCGAACGTTGGATGGAAATCCTGGTTTAATTTGCTTCGTCAATGACGAGGATATTGGATGGAGCAATGATTTAAAGATTTCATCGGTTTCTGAGGTTGCTTCTCCAAGGAATATAATAGTGTGCCTTGCAACTTCATAAATCAAACTCATCAAACTAACCTGTGTGTTCTTTTCTTCATAGTCAGATTGGTTGATGCAGATTCCATCTGCCCATATCATTGTATCTTTTCTGTTATCTCGTAAATGACGTAATGCCGAGTCAAGGCTTGCGGTAACAAGTAGTGGTTTCCCATCGACTAATACTGTCCTCCTGTTGTTTGCGTCTCCTCAGACATAAGAAAGTGCCGAATAATTATCTATGAGAGGTTGGTTGTAATGGAATAGAGTAGAATGAATTAAGCTGCATGACAAAGGTGATTTGCTGGATAAAGCAGAATGAATGACAATGATGCGAAACTCATCAGGTTCGAGAAGAGGAGCGTATTGATATTGTCGAACATCCTCCATTTTTGGAAATTTTGGTGCCAAGTTAGGTTCCTAGGCGATCAAGATTTCTTAAGTCTAAGATTCATTTATGAATAACCTTCTTTATAGTCTTCAGATTTGAGGCGTGGCGTCAAGAAACGAGATATGCATGTAAGATAAATGTGGAGATATTGCTGAGGTGAGATAGATTGATCGACATCATCCACAATCATGGACAAAAAGATTAATCAACAAAGTCATTCAGACCAATCTTCGATGTAGCATCCGGGACTTAGACCCATTTTCAAAAATATTTCAGCCTCAACTAGAGGAGATAGCATCGTTCACTGAACGTATGCCAAAGGGAATTGCGAACGAAAGCTTGCTTGACGATTTCACAGGTGGTGCTCTTATCGCCAGTGCTCCATTTTGTTTCTTCCAGTGAATAGGAATTTCCGAAAACTGATTCTATGGACTTGATATCATTAGAACGCCGAGTCGCAACGTGGGGTGCTAGTCTTATCAATACCTTCATCCACAAATTTTCATATCTTTTCCCCATCCTACTTGTCTTCAAAGGAGTTCCCATCTCCCTTCCGCCTTTTTCTGTCTGATCTTCAAGCAATTTTTGCTTTCCTTTTCCAACACATACCTTCTTGTTCTCAAACGTATTCGACAATTTCTTACATTCAGAACCATTTCTAGACATAACCCAACAATATTCATAGCCATCCGTTTGTGGTTCTATAGTGATTTGACATCCTTTAGGCATGGCCTTTGCGATGACATAAGGCTGTAAATGCAAACATAAATTGGGAATTTTTCCTACCTCCTCATTTTTGATGGCATTCTTCTTACGATTCGGAGACACGTGAGCTTCTACTACTGCCCGTTTCGAGTATTCTAACCATTCTCGAGCGACTTTGAGTTGAACTGTGTTGATTCTCTGGTTTTGCAAGAAAACTTCCATGCTGCTGAATGCAATTGTCAAGAACCCACTTCAAGTTCGTTTCCTTATACGAAGGGTGTGGTTTGACTATAGCTATCATTCTTTTTTCGTCATCTTGAGCTTCATAAACAATCGACTTCGAGTCTATCAACTGGAGATTGCATGATTCAGGATCATTGATGATGAACTTATCATAGATTGCAAGTTTTTGTGGTGCAACTTGACTTGGAGTTACGGCGTAAAGAAATAGATAAATGGTACGGCATTGTTGTTGAAATAATGATTGATTGAATGGATTTCTGGCTTTATGTATCGACCAGATTGATGATCGGATTCTTGATGCTACTAACATTGAATTACAAAGGGTATAAAAATTGCGAATCGTGGGATGTAGTGGGATACAGTGCGATGTCTTGAGGTCGAATATCTCAGAGCTCGAGTTCAACCTTATCACATGATTTCCGTAAAATTTGATATACCGCTTTAGCAGGAAAGGTGGGTTGATGGCTTGTGTGGCTGTGTTGTGGCAGATAGATATTGGATTGAATTTACTTGGCAGAATTATCATACCAAATGGGTCTGATTCTCAATCGCATACCTACCTATTGATCTTCTTTCATGAATAGTCTGCCTCCACGGCAGTGGCCCCCGGAGGGCCAGCGGAGCGTCATTGCATTTCACTTGAATTGTATGTTACCGATATGGTTCAAAATCATGTAGTTATTATATTCAATTCATGGGAGCAAGCCCCCAAACCCCCATAGCTCGCTGCGCTCGAAGATTTAACTTTTGGGCTTGTTCGGAAATCGTGCAATTGACAATCTCCATCGTCCATACGAGCTACGAGGTATTTTCATTAGCTTCTTCTCTTCGTCATTCTTCGCTTCCAATAGAGTTGATGTTTCCCCAATGTTTCATAGTGTGCGCATTTGATAGGTAGATAGATCAATGCAGCTGATATCCAATTACTTTGAAGTAACCATTGTACTACATAAAGAAGGAAGGAAGTAGAGTGTTTAGAATTGGTTGATTTGTTCTCCATTCGATTGCAGTATTGAATGCTTTTGACGACGGGTAGCGGATGTATGGGATGGGATGGCATGGGATGGGATGGGATGGCGGTAGTAATAAAGTTTGAAACTTGAATAAAGGTTTAAGACTTTTCGGTGGAATCTCTTCTCTTCTGGGTGAGTGGACTCGGTGGATTTGGTGGATTTGATGGAACTTTCGGAATTTTTTGAAATTCACGTGGTGATGGGAATTTAATTTCTTATGAAATACGGAGTACGTACTTTGTATGTATATCGTATATCGTATTGCAAGGTTGAACTTGATTCCTGGAAGAATACCAGGTAACAATCTGTGTAAGGAAAGACGCTCTTTTTCTACATGAAACGAGAGAGAAAGGACCATGAGCAGGGAAAAAGGGGGGAATGGTCTCAATATGGTTCATGCTATCGATTGGTGAACTTCGGAGTCGGGGTACAGAGAGCATGCCTGCGTGCCTGCGTGCCTGCGTGCTTGATGAAATGCCTGACTAGGGGTAATTGATCAGATTCAAGGCACCAAAGTAATTCGATTGGTTGAAATATGACATTGTGGAGCGACACTACACCATTTCAGGACAAGCGCCTTTGTGATTACCCAGTCACATAATGAAATAATCCCCACAGCATTTCAACCAATGGTAATTTCTATGTCCCCCAGATTAATAACGGATATCATTATCCTTATCGAGGGATTTATCTCTCTTTTTATCTTTTCTTTCCTTTTTGTCCCTGCGTTTCGTGCCTTGCTGACTCCACTCTTTTCACTCTAACTGGTTATCTCTGGTGGGGGGGGGAATCCTTGAATATTGAAGGAAGTGAAAGGAAGCAGAGAAGAGTGAAAGAGTGAAGAGTGAAGAGTGAAGAGTGAAGAGTGAAGAGTGAAGAGTGAAGAGTGAAGTGTGAAGTGTGAAATGAGAAATGAGAAGTGTGAAATGAGAAGTGTGAAATGATCGCCAAATAATAACTCCGTTTCCATGCGCGGAATAATCCATTTTGGAATTGGTTGAAGCTTCACATGAATCACATGAAATGCTTCATATCAATTTTCATCCATTGATTGTGAATATCGAAGTGGCCGTTCAAAACTTCTCCCAAGAATCCTCCTTACTTTACTTTGTCCTCAGTAACATCAAACACCGAAAGATATTTCTTCTTGCTTGGCTTCTTCCCCTGCATGCCAACTTTACATGATCAGCCACCCAACAGCCACAGAACGGTACGAGCAGACACAGAACACAGACTACACCCTAAACTTGTCTCACTGCATTACACCACTGCACTGCACTGCACTGCGCTTCACTGCACTCCACTCTTCAATCATCAATCCATTCATTCATTCATTCATTATCCACCACTGACTTCCTCCTCTTACCCTCACCCTCAATCTCTTCCTGGGCAAAGAGAACTTCAAACGCTCAAACGACGCTCGTACGAACTTCATTCTCGACTTTTGTTCATCGCTTCTTTCGCAACTGCTACCTCTCTTCATCCCATCAAACCCACCGTTTCTACTTGTAAAACAGACATCCGAGCTCAGAATCCTTTAAGAATAAGATCACTGAAATAGAAGCTGGACTTTGCCACAATTCAATATCTCACGTTGGATAATTCGAGAGAGGGAGAAAGGAACAGAGTTATACACACACACACACACTCAACATTCGTTCTTGATTGCAATTTTTTCATTCGTTTTTGATATCACGATTTCTTTACAATCGCATTTGTACCACAGTTTTTCCTTGGCTAAAGAAAAGAAAGAAACTCAATTTCGACCGCCAACTTCCGACCAATTCCTAACGACCCATACCAATTTCGAGGTACCTGTCGAAGGACGATCAAACCCGCGCGCTTCAGAGTAACAGAATCAGGAAGACATCTCACCAAAAAGAAAGAACAATTCCTTTTTCAATTGGATCGTTCCAGTCAAGCAATGTCAATTTGATCTTCAATTAAGAAGATTTCAATACCATTAATTGGCTTGGTTCGCTTCAAATCGCATGAATAGTGAATATTCTTGTCGCATTCGCATTCATTTCCACTTTCTCGTGAATTGGTCACAGATCAACAAAAATATGATTCAACAATAGAAACGGCCACTCTTTACCTTTTCTATTGTGCTTCCTTCCTTGCTCAGCTTTAAGCCACGGTCGACCCGAAAACTTATATCCACAATCCTACTGTCGTGGACGTTTGTACCCGTCACCCGTTCATTCGACCTGTACCATCCAAGACTAATCGTTGTCTTACCTTTTTCATATCCGTCCTCGATTGATATCATTCATACGACTAAAGTACATGAATACTTACTCGACATATCAGTTGTACATCACCCTCACTTAACCTGCACAAGTCGATACTTCGCAGGCGGAGAACGACAAGTGCATCAAATATAACTCGACGTGCATTATATCGAAGAGACTCACTCATTGCGAAATATCCCACAAAACCTTCAAGGTTACGATTCCTTCTTTTCTAGCCAGGTGCTTCGACATTATATCAATTGTCATCGTGGCAGAGCCAAACGAATTTAATTAAAAGATATACCTTTCACTACTTCAGATATGGGGGTTTTTTCAAGACGTGTGAACAAAGACGACCTACGTCCTGAGCAGAAATGGGACTTTATTGTAAGACTTGGAATGTCATTGGGAATAGGAAGTTGCTAATTATCTTTACAGAGTCTTAACGATTTTAAATCCACATCCTGTCTCACTCCTTTCGCATATGCATATCTTTGGATTTCTTTAGTCATATCTACCGCCGTTTATGGTGTAGATACTTTTACCGCCGTCAACCTCTTAGCTTTCAATCGATGGTCTGGTGAAATTCAACCAATCATTCCTCTCAATGTTTCGAAATGGATCTTTTCTGGATGTATCATTGCTTCTTGGATTAATATTGGATTCGAACATTTACGAGCTTGGAGAGTTATGCGACGAGGAGCTGTTGCCGAAAGTTATTTAGACAATCTTGCTGTTCGACTTGAAAGTATTAAAATGGGACAGACTGGTCGAGGTTGGAGAAGGTTCTTGGTCTTTGCCGAATTGACAAAATCTAAAAAGGGAACCGAATATGTTGCGCTATTTACATATTTCGCTTTTCAATGTACGTCGCAAAAGAACCCCCATATTTTCATTACTAACATTTATAGCTTGGATTCGTGTTGTATTCTGTCAAGGACCTCGTCAAGTCATCAACGCATTAACTCTGTACTCAGTGTTTCATGCAAAACTCGACCCTACTGAATCCAATGATGTTGGAGATGCCCTCTTAACCTTTTTCAAAAAGGTTGGAATCCTTGCAGAACAAGAACATCAACAAGCAGTTATCTTGTCTGGTATGATCTTCACACTTGTTATTTGGATCTTTTCCGCACTAAGTCTTATCCTCGCAATCCTGTTCTATCTACTGTTCTTATGGCATTATATTCCAAATCACGATGGTGGACTTACAGGCTATTGTGAGCGAAAGATTAATGAACGTTTGACAAAGATTGTTAGTGCCAAGGTTAACAAGGCTATCGAGGAAGAGGAAAGAAAACGAACCAAAGCAGAACAAAGGGCAGTAAAGAAAGGAGAGAAAGTTTCTGGGCGTCAAGCTACCATTCCAGCACTTTTCGATTCGAAAGAAGACGATAAACTTCCGGATATGCCTGTGCTCAATAGAGCAGATACAATGGCAACCCTACCGCAATATACATCACGACCAGGTACGCCAAGTAGTAATCTCCCACAAACAGCCAGTTTTGAACTTGAGAAATTGGATCAAAAACGACCATTACCTGGACGATCTGTTACAGGGTCAAGTTATGCTTCAAATGCTCCTCTTATGGGTAATGCAGGTGATATGGGAAGGTTACCGGACTTACCACCACTTGATACAGATATGCCATTCCCTGCTCCACAAAGAACAAATACTGGAGGATCTCAAGGTAGTCAATGGCAACGTGGTCCACCGCAAGGTCCTCCTCAA